TGTTAAATTTTTAAAAAGAGTTTGAACTGAGTCAGTAGCTGGACTACTAGGTTCAGAACTAAGTATAACTAACCAGGAAACCTAATCAACCATGACCAGAGACATAGAATTGCTACTAACAAGTTTAGTGACAGGCTCATCACATTGATAAACGAATCACTTAAAATATTAAAATCTCCCAAACTTATAAGTGAATTTCCTAAGTGTGACAGTAAACAAAACATTCTATATTCTCCTAAGAAGCTATATGTCTGGGGACTTGAGATGGCTCAGCAGTTAACAGCATTTACTGCTTGCTCTTCCAGAGGATCTGAATTGGATTTCCAACACAGACATGGCTGCTAAGAGCCTTCTGTAGCTCCAATTCCACAAGATCTGACACCCTCTTCTGGCCCCCTGGGGCACCACACATGTGTGGTGCAAATTCATAACAGACAGGTAAAACATCCATACAATAAAACAAGACCTTAAAACAAAAACAACAAAAAAACCTACATGTACATAAAATAGGTCTTTAGAGTTGAAGCATTGAACCTAAAATTTAAAGACAAGGAAAAGTTCCAGAGTCAAAACTATTTATATTCAATACTAATGGCAATTTCCCACTCTTATGAAATAGTGTATATGCAAAGCTAAAACAATATCCTGAACTTAAATGAAATCTGAGCTTAATTTGTTTTATTAATTATATGTATTTTGAGGCAGTTTCATTATGTAGCTCTGGCTAGCTTGGAATTTGCTATGTAGACCAGACTGGCCTCAAACTGAACAGCAATCCTCCTGCTTCTGCTTCCTGAGTGCTGGGATTAAATACATGTGCCATCATAGTATCAGGCATTTTAATAAATTCCACAAGGAAATGAAAGTTGTCTCCATGAAGAAGATACAATTGATGCACAAGGTATGTTTACTTTAAGCTTTGTAACTGAAAATTTCCAAACCAGCGCCTTTTTTTTTCTTTTTGTCTTTTGAGACAGGGTTTCTCTGTGTAGCTTTGGAGCCTGCCCTGGAACTTGCTTTACCAGGCTGGCCTCGACCTCACAGAGATCCGCCTGCCTCTGCCTCCCAAGTGCTGGGATTAAAGGCGTGCACCACCACCACCCACCCACTCACCCTTCACCCCTTACCCCTCACCCCCCCACCCCCGGCTTATGCTTTTTTTTAATGGTGTGAGCCACCACCACCTGGCCAAACATGGTTTTAATTTCAAACCAATAAACTGTAAATGGCTGTGTCTTGGGCTCACAACTCACCCCTAAGGAATCTGCCTTATGCTTGGAATCTCCTTTTTGCTTCATTAAAGCAGTATGGGAAAAATACTGCCACATATATGTCAAAGAACAAGATTCACATGAGGACAGTATAAATGCATGGTTCGGGAATATGACCTCAGCTATTATTCTGATGAAAAGCACCTGCACATGCAAGAAATATATTTTACAAAATGAAGAGGTAGGCAGTGTCCTCCATTTCAACCCCCACCCATAAAATTAAAGGATTTGATAGTATCAATGCCTTATCTTTCTTCCCTTAAAGGAAAAAAAAAAGATTGTTCAGAAAAAGAAGTTCATATACTATTCAGCTCATTCTAATGCCTAACCCAATCACATACGCCTAGATTCAAAAATATGTGTCATTCTTTTAAAAACCAAAAGTGCAGACTGAAAACTTTAAATTTAAAAAACACAAAGGAGAAAGGAGTTTCTTGTTTTAAAGTATTTTAATGGCAAACCATGGTCACAGTTTAAAACTGAGCTAACAGTGTTTAAACACTGTGCCACTATATTTGAGATGATGAATTTGAAAATAAAAATATCTTTAAAAATAAATGTAATCAAAATAACGAAATCTTTATTTTACAGTTTCTGTTTATTGACTACACTATATAGCAAAGAAAATAATTTCAAGTTCTTACAGTATTGTCTGTGGTCGACATACTCTCTCATTAAGCTTGGACTCTTAAGGACCTCTTAACTGCCTATCAATTTCTCTATTTTAAATAATTCTGTTTCAATTATCCATTAATCCCTCCCTGGCTGAGAAAGATTTCACTTCTTCTTCTAGAGAGTTATGCCCTATGTTTAGAGGGGACAGAAACCCTTTCTAATCAGTGTTGACGGCTTTTTAGACTACCTACTACTTCCTATATATGCGACTTTGTGCCTATAGAAATGTAATGCGATTTCCTCCCCTGCTCTGCCGTTCGAAGTCTGGGCTCTTAGATCCCGTCTGGATCCTTCAGCCTTGTCCCATTCCATATGGTTCCCCCAGTGTCCGCGCGGGGCGGCACCTGACGACCGCACGCGAACGCCCTGCGGCAGACGCTCGCTAGGCGCTGTCACCGGGGAGCAGGCGTGGGCCAGACCCCGGGCGAGTTGGACGGCTCGTCACGACGACGCGCCGCGACGGAGATCCGGGGCCCCGCGGTGCGCCCGGCAAGCCGGTGTGCAGCTGTCGCGGAGCCGGAAGCTCACCGCGGGCGCTGCGCCGGGAACGGGCGGTGCAGGGAAGAAAGGGGCT